ACTAGGAAATTCATTCTCAATGAAATTGAGATCTCACGACTCATTTTCAGTCATTCCACCATTAGGGTGTTCACCATACATCGCATAACTCGTTGAGCATTCTAAGTATCTCACAAACAATTGTTTATTTGCTCTAGGGCCTAACTTTCCATGCTTATAAGAAGTACTGTAAACAAAACCCGCACAACTCCAAGGCTACAAATGCTCCAAATCTAATTTTGCGTCTTTTTATAATTCATATGAAGTTGTTAGAACTAACTTTGAAGGCGCACAGTTAAAGATGTAGGTAGCAGTAAAAAGTGCATCCCCCCAAAAAGATATAGGGAGGTTGGTTTGCGTCATCATCGATCTAACCATTTCAAGTAATTTACATGGACCAATATTTTTTAATTGGTACCCCTAGCACGATGGTTATTAAAGTTATTTGCTTTATAATTCAATTAATACAATTTGATATGAGTTTCAATAAAAACAATTGAAATCTTCTTGTTAAATAAAAAATTAAAGACTTGTTTGGGGCGTCCTAAATAAGTGCACTTTTTGACTTTTTGAATTAAAAAGTTGAGGAAAAAAATATAGTTATTTGGGATAATTTTTTGACTTTTTAAGAAAAAATGTGTATTAAAAAATTGTATAAATTAGTATATAGGGGAAGATTGGAATAAATAGGCTGTACACTGGGATGAGGTAAGGGACAGTGTGAAGTGTATAGGCTAAGAGATGATTCCTTCCTTTTCGGGCATTGAATGGACGGTGTTGTTCAATCTGTGGGGGCCCACTACGGGTCCCGTTTTGCTAATCGAAACCGTTCAATGTGTAGAACTCGTCGAGTACTATATTTTTTTAAAAACTCACATTGATCGGATATCGATAACTATCTGATCGGATTAATTTTTTTCAACCGTTAACTATAACACTATCTATTTTTTATACAAAACTGATTTGATCATGTAGTTAGCGATATCCAATCAACATGATTTTTTACAAGAAAATAGCACTCGACGAATTGTACACATTAAATGGTTTAGATTATCAAAATTTAACCCGTGATAGCCCCCACGAGCCAAACAGCACCGTGTTGTTTGTACACCCCACCTGTGCAATTTTTCTCAAAATGTCGGCTCGTGCCGGTGGGACATCAATTCAGTTTGTAATAATATTGTATAAAATTAATTTTTTTATATTTTTTTTGATGAATAGTGATAACTTTTTAACTTTTTTAATAACTTTTTGATTTTTTTTAAAAATCCCCAACCAGGCCTAAGTGAATCATGCAATTCAATTGTGATTTACTATAATTCAGTTATATTTTTGTCTTTTATTTGCATAACAAGTAAAATGGTGCCGTTTCTATCTCTATCAAGAAATAAGAGATGAATTAAACATCAATATATGTTTATATAAATAATTTTAATTATATTAATATTTCCTTTATAAAACTCTATGCCCATATTTAGTTATATAAATATATAAAATTAATATCATATTAAATAAAATGAATCTTACAATTCACAATCCATTATTTAAAAAAAAAAAAAACAACTATGATACGAGTCATAATTTGATATGCACTTGAACATAAGCCACCACATAACTCATCACCACAGAGCACAGAACAGAGATTCAAATATCAGAGCAATTATTTCTCCAAACATCCCAGCAAAAATTGTTCATGTATTCAAAAGGTATAAATCTAGTTATTAAAGTTGTGCTTGGTTGAAAGATTTAACGAGAGAATCGAAAGAGAGAATAAAATATAATCTCACTTTTTATTTGATTATATTGAAAAATATAGCGGAAAAGAAAGTGAGAGAGATGCAATTCCCCACATAGCTCTTTTCTTTTTCTATTTCCCAACTCAACCAACCATAACTTGAAATTTAAATCATATTAATTCTTTCTCATTTTTTTTTCTACTCCCCTTTCCCTTTCCATTTCCATTTTTCTCATAAAATCTTCCAACGAAACACAATCCAAGGATTTAGGGTTTTTTCCGAAAACTGATCAGTTTCCGATAAACTTTCCACCTCTCAGTGGAGAAAATCCATCTACTAAAGTCCCACAAAATCAATCCATACAGTTTCAAAAAACCACATACCTCACAGTCACCTATGCTTTAGATTGTCTCTACCAACAATCTGTTGGAATGATTCTAGCAAAATCATGAATTACCTCATTAAATTATCAAAACTAATTGTGAAGACAGAAAAACAATGCCACAATTTTTATGGCACAATTCAAGTGGTTTTTCTCCCCAAACAAACAAGCATAGATAATAACAGTTACAACTTCTAATATAAAATATAAAAATATAAAAATAAAGAACAGATCAATAGCATCCACTGATGGATTATATTAAAGATCAGTAACAGTATGTTTAAGAGTTTCAATACTATACACTTGTTCTTTGCAACTCAAGGGTCAGTTGGGGAACAGTAAACACAGCTGAAGAATGTCAAACTAGGTATGCTGATAATTTGACAGATTTTTTCCTAGTAATGAAAAATAAAAGTTCTAAAATACTATGCATAAGAAGCTTGTTATCCCTTTAGAGAACAGGCTCCTCACGAAAACATTACATCTAAACAATAATCCTATTCTTGCTAAGCCATACTTCAAGCATGATAAGAGATCTTTCCTCCATTTTAGTCACCTTGCTTTGAATGCAGATCCAAACGTAACCAAGGCAACACTACTTTTAGGAAGAGTGTTTATATTGAGTGCAATGTTACATGGACTGGGCTACGAGTATTATTGACTGCGGATATATGTTCAAGCGTCAAACCTTCATAAACTTAAATCTTAAGACTTGTACTCAAAAATTGAATATATTTACTACTATTATAAAAGTGTGAAGAATTGTCATATTTTTTATTTTTTCCGTATCTCAAAAATACCCTCCAAAATTTATTAAATATCAAACACCAACCTATATCTACCAAACAACCAAACACCTAGAATTCAAATACATTCAAATATGGTACACCTTCAAACATTATAATATGATTATTTTTTTAATAATTTTACTACTGTCACCTGTTCAAACATCAACACCATCAAATATTATAATACGATTATTTTTTTAATAATTTCACTATTGTGGCATGTTCAATATTTATTTTCAATTACCTTCTCATAAATAGTAAGTGAGAAATTTTATGAGATTCAAATCAAGAAAAATCATGAAAATATATAAAGAAAATAAATATTTTTTTGCAATTGATCTACTTTGAATGAGTAGTGATGATTCAAAGTGATCTTGCTGGCAACTGATAACTCTTGGATTGTTGTTTTTAATTGGATTTTGTGTATTAATAATAGGCTTTGTTTGGGAGGGTTCAAAACAATTGCCGGTCACAATCTACTGCAAAACTTTCACAAATAATAATCGACTCTGCTCCGGAAGATTCGGAACTACTTTGTTTCGTAATCTAAAATAAATTCTACAATCAGTATTACCCACTCTGAGGCGCTAAAACTTGCTTCTGAATATCATACATAATTTTTACAAGATTATACAAGATGAATGACAAGGATCGCACATCTGGAAAGATTGTACCAGAAGAAGTACAAAATGACGAAGATCAATATGGAATGAAAAATAACAATATAACAAATTCCCAAAGTTTAATTGCAAAGAGGATCAAACTAGAGAATAAATGAATTTTATAAAAATACTTTAGTTTTCAATTTCCTTTACTTATTTTATTTCAAAATAATAATAATATTACAATATTAGTAAGATATTTTATTTCTTCACCTTTAATAATAATATTACTATGTTAGTTGGATGTTTTTATTTTTTACCTTTCAATTACCAAGTGATTTCTACATACATACATATAATATAACAAAAGCGAAACAATCTGATGAATTATATATTTAATAGTAATAAGTCTAATAATGTGATATGGACTACAATTATTTTATGTGATTGGTTTCAATTTACTTCCAAAATTTTAATACTTGAACATTAATATAAAAATATAGGACACTATGTAAAATATTTATGCTAATGTCTATTCTTTTATCATACATTTAATATCCACTCATGCGATTTAACCAATGCAATTATTATAAAAAGGTAAAACTTAAAAAGCTAAAAACTAGAATAAAAACTAATAACTAAAAAAAAGAAAATTTACCACGTGCAACGCACGTGTTACTCTACTAGTATATATATATATATATATAAAAAAAAGTACGAGAAGCGTCATGGATACATAGGCATTGCATATTGAAGGATTGTAAACAACCACAAAATATCAAGGCCTTCAGCTGCTGCTAAGCAAGTACTAGAAGGGATTATGGACAGGACATCATAATGTTAATAATTAATTTGATTCCCTACCCTTCGTACCAGTGACCTCCGATTAGGGTTGATGCTACCCTTGGATGAACTAATCCAAACTCTACATGAAAGAAACACTCTACCACTTTCGTTTTCCTTTTTTGTTCCCATTTTTCATAAAACGAAGAAAACTTGTTTGGCAACTTCATTTTTTTTGAAAAAACAAAAAGAAAGAAGAAAGAAAAAACAATTTTTACGAAAGACTAATTGAATTCGATTTTTCAAAAATCTATATTCATACAAAAATGAAAACAACGGATTTTTTGAACTTTCCATTGTTTTTGTTTTTGAAAACAATATGACAAACAAGCCTCTAGATTCTACGTACTAGTAGGCATGCAAGTAGAAATATGGTGCACTGGATAAGCTGAGCAACAGGATTGGGTTTTAGGAAATTCACCTTAGAAGGATGACAAGGGCCTGCCAGAAAGGAGTCCCCATGGCCCACACTAATTTTGAGGTCTTCCGGAGTTTGTTCAGAGTGATCTTCTTGAAAACTACTCTAAGATGTGCTCATGAATCAAGACAACAAGGTAAACAATAATGTTGATTCTGCTTTCTGCAGTACATTGCTATGCATATTCTAACAAATTTTAAGTTCAGTCTTAGTTAGGTTAAACGTTTCATATTCATCCGCATAGAAGCACACTTGAGAACAATTTCTGCAGAGGCATATCTACTCATTCACTAGTTCAACTTTAACAATCTAAATTACAACCAGCAATCTGACAGATACCGGTAGTGAAATAGAAAATGAAAATAATGTGCTACATTTTAATAAGATATACCAAAGTTATCCTTAGAAATGAGAGAGTTGCTCAAGTTTACGAGCCTGGAAAAATTTGCAGCGTCCTTTGCCACTAGATTCAATTTCTTCACTTTTCCTCTTCAATCCAGTGAAACCAACATTGCTTAATTTCAATTGCCGCTTGCCGCTCCTAGTAGACGAACCATCTTCATCCGTTTTATCAGATTCCCTACAGAAAGCAACAAATGGGATCAAATGAACGCTTGTGGACACAACAGATTACTATTGCATGCATTTATGCATCCTCTTAAAAGAAACCAGAACTGTTGAGCTAATTCTGGATCTACAATGAAAAGCTAAACAAAGAGGAGATAGATATTTTATTTTTCTTGATCAGCAACAAACAAAGATTTTATTAAGGAAAAAAGCCAAAAGAAGCGAGAATAAGGCATCCTCTAAAAAAGAGTACAAGTTAAAGAAGACAACAATAACAAAAAGAGGCAAAACCCAAAACGATGAAAAACACTACGTATAACAAACTAACACCAATCTGCTGCAATCAAAAAGAGAGGAAATCCTTTGAACAAAGGACTCCCCGACACCCAAAACAATACTAAATGTCGAACTTTATCCCGTAAAAAATCAACATCCCGAGATACTTATTCAAAGACGCACCCATTTCTCTCCAACTAAACGACCCAAAAAATCGCAAAGATAGCACAAAGCGAAAGCACTTTGGCCCTCTTCGACCTGCCCAATACTTGAAAATCAATTAAAGTCATTTGTGTAATCTCTTTTGGAGTCACCCACATAACATTCCCCAAACAAAACAACCTTTGCCACAAACTCGCTGCCACTGGACAATGCAGAAATAAATTATCCAAAGATTCACCAAAGAGGAGATAGATATCATGCCGGTGTCATGAAAAGAGAGATCATTATATGCCAGGTTTCTAATAATGGCAAACTTTGCGTTCACTTATGTCATATCTAGGGAAATTATTTTAAAATTTGAAAACAGTAACACAAAGTATAGATAAAAAGTAACAGAGCACGGCCCTGTGGCTGTGATTCTAGCCAATATGAACTCTTCTTCATTTGTTCTATAACGGGATATCTTTCTTCGCCATTGTAACAGCTTAATATCAGCAACCTTAAGCACCATTACTGCATCTACACTCTAGATTATAGCATAGATCACCACATAATGGCACTAGGTAATGATGTATTACATAACAAGAGGCAATAAAAGTACTTCAACCCCACAAATAGTCAAGCAGGTGAATAGAAGTTCAATGAAAGTGAATCATGCAAGCAAATTTAGACCAGGACTCACCATAGCACTTCGACATTGTTTTTGAAGTAGGGAGTACATGTGCCCCAACTAAAGCGGACCAATGTTGGGAATCCAAATACAGAATGTTGGTGATCTTCTAACCAAGATTTAGTTTCAGGATCTAAAAACATAAATAAGAGTCATATGATCACAAGGAAATACTCAATTGAAATTTGATAAACTCAAGATAAATGAAAGGAAGTCAAAACATTTTTTACCTCCAGGATAACCAGATCCAAAGTTCCTATGCATGTTTTCAGCAGTTTCATCAAGCACCCAATCCCTCAAGGCTCGGTCTCTTGTGACCTGAAAGTTGAAACATGTATTACAAATCATCTAATAAGACATAAACTGTGAAAGGCAACAAAAATGAGAATTAATCACCTTTGCAACAATGCTTGCTCCACTTACAACCGGATAAAGACTATCAGCTTTCTTTGCAACCACAAATTTGATAGATGGGAATCGTTCAGACAATCTAATTCTATACTTCTCTGGATCTCCCACAGTATCCACAAAAACCTGTAATACTTCCAAACATAAATTCCCCATGACCTGATCTAGCCCACTGATGAATTGAACACAGAAAGGTTCAAACATCTGTTTGATGCCAAAACCTCCTCCTTGCAAATGTTTTTGGGTTTCGCCTAGTTACACAACTATCGTTTCTTTCCCATTATTTTTTCTACATAAATACATACATATTTTGTTTTTCAATTTAAACCCTTCAGATTGAAGAACAATGAAGCATGGAAATTTGAGAGGGATATATTCCATATAACATTTTACAAGTGCGACTAGGCTTTTTGCGTAACACAAAGAAACTTAATAAATTCAGAACATTTACACCACCAAGAGATGAAAGAAACCATAGGAAACTTCCACTAAGAATACATTATATCTGCATTAGTCTTCCTATTAGATCAAGTGTTCATCTATTATGGACTCTTTCATTTAGAAACTCTGGTTCTTTCCTTAACGTAACCTTGAAACAATAGCCGAAGAAATATAATCTATCAAATTTACAACATTCTCATTTCTAGGTTAAATGACATCTATCAGCCTAAAACTCCAAGTTAAAGAATCTAACAACTTGATCTTGTTCCTTGATTAGGTTTGTGCTAAGGATTAAGGATGTGATTATGTTGAACTTGAATATCCAAATATTTCCTCAAGGGAAAATTATGAAATAGATAGGGAATTTTTTTATTTTACCTCAGTTAGAAGAACCCCCATGTTCAGGACCCTACTGACAAGGCCCATCGCAGAATTATGTGAGATTTCATTAAGGTTTATCTTATTCCTGTGTAAGATCAAACAGGAGGAATCATGTTAGAAAACTGCTTCACTGGAACAAAATGGGATGAAGTTAAAGAATCTAACAACTTGATCTTTTTCCTTGATTAGGTTTGTGCTAAGGATTAAGGATGTGATTATGTTGAACTTGAATATCCAAACATTTCCTCAAGGGAAAATTATGAAATAGATAGGGAATTTTTTTATTTTACCTCAGTTAGAAGAACCCCCATGTTCAGGACCCTACTGACAAGGCCCATCGCAGAATTATGTGAGATTTCATTAAGGTTTATCTTATTCCTGTGTAAGATCAAACAGGAGGAATCATGTTAGAAAACTGCTTCACTGGAACAAAATGGGATGAAGAAAAAGTTGGTCACTAACTTCTGTAACATTTTAGCTGAGAGCTCCCTTGGATCAATCACATCAACAGCCCATCCAATTGATTCATCAGCCTTCAAATTTTCAAATAATTCCTCCCTCTTTTCTTCTTTCAGTGTTTTTGAATCTGCATAAAATAAGAGATCAGAAATTCCATTGTGTGGGAGAAATGCTAGCATGTCTTATACTATATTCAGTGAGGGGAAAGAGCTATTAGTTATCACTGAGGAATAAATAAATGAAAGCATACAGTGAGTCTAAGACCTAATTCCTCCTTTCATGCTAAAGTCCAAGAGTGCAAGATTCCTACAAGCAAAATTGTTGCTTCATCAATTTGGTGCTAAAGCATCAACCCATTTAATTTTTAAGTCATCAAAAACAAAAATAAAGGGCAAAAGTATAACTTTTCATTCAGTATAAAATTTATTTCCAGAAGCATAGAACAGAGCTAGCACTGGATCAGTACAAGTGTTGTTGAGGAATAAACCACTACACACGAACAATAGCAAGGAGAAACAATCACAAACAAGAAAACACTGACACACAAATTTGCTTGATTCAGCGATATTGCCTACGTCCACATCTCACAACCAGTTCCACTGCACCGAAAGAAGATGAGAGTGCAATGCGGCTACTGTGAAGATAACAATATGTATATATATATATGCTACGCAAGGGTTTACATCAACAAATTATGGTAATACCATTTTTATACTTAGGATTGAAGTGGCCTCTACTCAAACCCATTTGAACAATTCATAAATAATTACATTTACACTACAAAATATGTGCCTTCCTATGAAACCCAGATTATGCTAATCAGTAATTACATTCCCATTCTCCAAAATACAAAAATTAAACAAAATATGAAAATGGGAAATACAAGGAGGGGAAAGTTGAAGTGTTAACCTGCAAAGTTCAATGAGGATAGAGTCTTTTGGTATGAAAGTGCACAGTACAAGCAACCATACACCATGGGTCCTGAAAGCAAATAACAAAAAGTAACTAGTTATCAAGAAATTAAGATCAGACCCAACACCAAACAATAACCAATTGAAGCAAAGAAGAACAAATAAGAGCTAAAAACAGACATATAGATATATAGACATGATGATGTATATATGAATAGAAAAGAGGGAAAAACCTAAAACAGGGCCGCGACCAGCTTCGTCGATGCCCATGATGCAAGGATCGGACGCCCATTTGGGAAGAGGAACTTCCAATCCCATTTTATGCCTTCTCTTTGCGTCTCCAATCACCTACACAACTCCCCCCCCCCCCCTCCCCGCCACAAACGAGGAAAGGTAAAGCTTATTGGATTTTGTTAACCTGCCTTGGAAATAATCCTAGCTTTAATTGCATTTTAGTTTGAGGAATAGATTATTTTAATTTTTTTATTTTTTAACTAAAACATAATGTAAAAAAATTAATATCTTGAATAATTTTTTAATTTTTTATGAAAAAATATATGAAAAGTAGCGAGAAAATGTTTTTTATATAATTCGTTTACTTTTTAATTTTTTTTAATAATTTTTTTAATTTTTAAACTAAAAAATAATATTTCTAAATGAGACCAGTACTGAGAATTGTGATTTTAATTTTTCATCGAATTAGCTTGCCTGGACCGTGTTGTTTAGGCAATGGGGTTCATCATGGGTCCGTCTGAATGATTCGAATCATTCATTTTTTAAACTACAATGTGTAGGTCATTTATGAAAAAAATCAAATTGGTTTGATAAACGTTAGTTTATTATATTTGTTTTTCAAAAGATGAATGATCTAGTTTTTAAATAATAATTATCTCATTATTTTACAAATAAATGTCATAAACTAATAGGGAAAATTAGTCTAAGGTCCCTCTCCCATTTTTAGTAATGGAAGAGATCCACAATATTATTTTATGATGTCTAAGGTCCTTCAACTCCCACACTCATATATCACAGAGAAATTTGACTGAAAGCATGGAATTTGTACTCCTCCCCATCGCAGGCTCGCATCAACACTGCGCCAACATCACCAAGGAGTCTCAGTCGCTTCATCACACAGTCCATCCAACCACCACCGTTGCCGCCACTAGAACCACCAGAACCACCGTCTACCACTGTCGTCGCCGCCTATGAATCAAGGTCGAAGCTCGACTGCTACTGCTAATTCAAAGCTTGAAGAGTTTCTAAACTTTGAAGAGTTCTGTTAAGAATTTGAATTTTGGTTTGAAGCTGAGCTTTTCAATTCAAGCATCGTCAATCGATACTGATTTCGATGGATTGAGTATTGATGTGAATCACGAAGTTGATGATATTGTAATTGAACCAAGAGATTCCAAGTTAATGATATTATAATTGAACCCGAGAGATTCGAAGGTTTTTTTTATAGCAATGGAGGTGTTGGTGGATTTGAATTCAAGAAGTCCTTTGAGAAAATGCACAGAATAATATGCTTCTCTTTCTCTCACTCTCTTTAGAAGTTTTACCCTTGAAGTGAAGGTGAAGAAGAGTGGAGACTCACGTTGGTTAGATTTGAGAGCAACTTCCTTGTCTTCCTCATCTCTCTGCAAATATATATATATATATATACATAGTAAATCAGAGAAATTTTAAACCAAAAAAATTTCAAAACACAAATTTCTCTGGAAATATTTGTCTGGGAATTTTCTCTGAGTTGTGGAGTCCAGAGAAATTCTCTGGGTGAGAGAATATCTGGAAATGTTTGTTTAAGAATTTCTCTGGGTTTGGGGAGTCCAGAGAAATTTTGAAATTTCTCTGTGATGTGTCCAGAGAAATTTTGAAATTTCTCTGCACCGAATTTTCTCTGGATCAATGTTGAGGGACCTTAGACATTATGAAAATATTGAGTGTCATTTATACTATAAAATTTTAATATCAGGGACCTTAAAAAAAATTCCCAAACTAATATGACTATGATTATCAGATCTATCTTCTTCTTTTTTTATGGATGATCTACACGTTGTGTTTTATAAAATGAACAGTTCAGATTATCGAGCTTGTGATGAATTCCATGGACTCAAACAACACAATTCTTTGTGGATTAGAGACAACTTGCTGCCTTTTCATAATTTTATTGACTGTAATAATTTGAAATATGAAAGCAATTTTTGATAATGTAAGGGTTGTTTTTGATAACTAATTATTTTAATTGGATTTTAATTTGAGTGATTCTACTTATGCTACTATATTACATCTTTACACCCTTCATATGAGGTGGGGTTTTTTTTTTTTTAGTTTTTTTTACCTATGTATGCAATTACCTTTAAGGACAAAACACTAAAATTAAATATATTTTATTATCTCCTTACATCCTTTAGTCTTCAATCCCTACTCCTTTTCTTTCTTCCCCAATTTCTCTTCTCTCTTACCCATCTCTTTTCAAAAAGTAATAATCATAGTGTTTTGATCATAAAAGAAAGCAATAGATGAAGAAACAGTAGTGAAGAACCATAAAAAAAGTGAAAATTGTGAGTTTTTTTTATTTAGTTGGTAGGCTTTTGTTTCGTTTTCTGGACTGTTCTTCAACTTTTATTCGGTATTTCGAAATCAAACAAAATAAAATAGTCCAACATCATATTGCCAAACAAAAAATATATGTCTGGTAACCAACTGCCCAATAAAAATACATTTCCAGTAACCTAAGAACGAATTTTTTTAATTTGCTCGATTACTCATTACCGTGTATTTCCAGTTTCATTTTTTATTTTTTTACTTGAAATGATTATACTTCTACTCATTGTAACAATGCAAGTACTGCATTATTAGTGGACTTCAGCCATGAATTCATTACAAACGAGATTTGTTAAGTTTTTTTATGAATACGATTTTTTCTCATTTTTAATTTGTATTTAGTTTTATTAATAATTTGACGTATAAATATATTTATTATCTTTAGATTTTTAGTAGTCGTCAAGCATTAATTAAATGGGCTTATATTGGATTTGTCATTATTATAAAGATATCAGATGCGGGAGGTAATGGCAGAAAATCAAAACTTACACTTGAACTGCATTCGAATGTAATGCACTACGTGCAACTATTTGATTCACAGGAAAAGGGTTGAAGACCTTATTTCTATCTTATCCTACTTCAAACCTGGCCCTGGATTTAATCGTTTGATAACTATACCCGACATAGGCCATTTGATAGCATCATACTACCGAGTCGTTCTTTACCATTTATCCATATAACAGTGCTTGACGTTTCTACCACTTAGATCAGTCCCTATTGCAACACTTGATCAAAAACATATATGCATAGGATTTGTAAATGAAAACCATTTCGTGCAGGTATAAACTACCGAGTCTACTGAGATTATTACCATGTCTTATTTTATAATTCTACTTATTGATGTCTTGTTATAGGTTTATCTACAGTTGGGTCATCCAGTACCTCTAATAACAAATAATTGGATCTGTTTTCATCACCCGTGTGCTAGTAGATGAGAGAAAGCATATACTACCCGTATTCATCAATTCCGTACGCTTGTCAGCCTTGATGTAGTAACTACCGAAACTATCGATATAGATGAATTGTGATAACATGTTTGATTGATGGATGCAAACAATAACAAATTTTATAGATGCTTTTATGGATGTTCGTACACTTGATGTTTGTATAAATATTTTTATAGCTTTTATGTATAATTTTATGTATGCGTATTTGATTTATGGATTTTTTTATGGATGCTCAAAAGAAAAAATAAATCTTTCAACGTACAGCGACAGGTGGCTAGACAAATCTATTATAGTTTGGCAACATGATACTAGAGTAATTTAATTTGTATAGTAATGTATCACCGAACAAGCACTTCACAAATGGCCCCGAATTAATTTCTTATTATCATCCAATCGAACGGCAACATATTACTGGGAAAAAAGAGTTTGTCTGGTAACATCACACTAGATTAATTCAAATTCATTGGCATTGTATTACCAAACAGATCTGGCACAAATTTAAAAATTATTGTTGGGAAGAAAGTGGCTCTGTAAATGTGTAGCAACAAAACAATGAAGAAATCTATTTTTTTCTGGCAACATAACATCAGAGGAGTGTAAATTGTTTAGCACTGTGTGACCAAACAGGCACTTCACTATGGGCGCCACTCACTGTCTTCCATGCGTCTTTCTCTTTCTCCTTGCTACGTCTTTCTTTGCTCCCTTATTTTCCCTCCAAAAAACTATTGGTGTAAAGAGATGAAAGGGTTTTGAAGAGTATTATTTTATGGTTAGTTTTGGTAATATAATAGGTGTAATGAGAATCACATTTTTTTTAATAATGTAATGAGATGGAAGGTGTAAAGAGGTGAAGTAGTGGTATAAGTAGAATCACTCTTTTAATTTTTTCTAAAAGAGTAATGCTAGAGACCCCAAAAATTCTACCAAAAGTTTTACCAAATGTCTCACATGGGTGTGGGACTTACACAATGTGGGTCCCATGTGGGTCCCACACCTATGTGAGACATTTGGTAGAACTTTTGGTAAAATTTTTGGGATCTCTAGCATTTTTGTTTATGAAAAGGCGTGAAAAAAAAATGAAAGTTAACTTTTTTTATAGTGACTTTTTAATTATTTTAGAACGTTCCCAAACATAAAATAGTTAAAAAGTCACTACAAATAGTAATATAATTCCTTGCTCTATGGTTTCATTTGGGAAGTGGGTTGACTTTTTGGCTATTAGCCTAGGCTAAAAAGTCTCATTTGAGTTAGGCTTTTTGGCTTTTTTGATTTTTATAAGAGAAAAAATTAAATGATTATAATTTAGATGTAACATTTTGTTTTATTAATTTTTTAACCTATTTTGTCTTTTGTGGCTATTTTAGCCTATTAGCTTGCCCCTAAAACCAACATGACATACGTCTTTGAAGTTGTTGCAACATGTAATTGGCTCCTTTGGATTATATTTAGATCATAAATTTGAGAGGGAAAAAAATTATAAAAATAACTCTCCATAAACATATCATCAAATTTATAATTCAAACACAGTCATGACATAAGTATTGTGGCATTAAGATAGGAGTGTAAAAATGGCCCGCGGCCCGAAGCCCTCCCAAGCCCGCTTAGGCCCTTTTAGGCTCAAGTCTGAGCCCAGCTCGAGAACCTAAGCATGGGCAGTCATTTTGAAAGCCGGCCAAACCCGTGGTTCCGGTCCGCTCAAGGCCCACTCAAAGTCCGGCCTGAGGCCCGGCCAACCCAGCCCGCCCATAGCCCAATGTCATTTATAGTGAAAATAAATAAAACTTTAGTAGAAAAAACAGAAAAAAAAAATGTTTAGGCTT